CACATTAAACACATATTAAACGCACATTAAACACACCTGAAACGCACATTAAACACATATTAAACGCACATTAAACACACCTGAAACGCACATTAAACACATATTAAACGCACATTAAACACACCTGAAACGCACATTAAACACATATTAAACGCACATTAAACACACCTGAAACGCACATTAAACACATATTAAACGCACATTAAACACACCTGAAACGCACATTAAACACATATTAAACGCACATTAAACACACCTGAAACGCACATTAAACGCACATTAAACACACCTAAAACACACATTAAACACATATTAAACGCACATTAAACACACCTGAAACACACATTAAACACATATTAAACGCACATTAAACACACCTAAAACACACATTAAACACATATTAAACGCACATTAAACACACCTGAAACGCACATTAAATGCACATTAAACACACATTAAACATGGCTTAATAGAGACAGTTTCAAACACAAATCAGCTTCACTATAACTCGCAGCATTCACAGACAAACACTTGTCTTTATCTGGACACATTTTCCCCACAGATACAACATGCTAACGTTATTAGCACAAGCCTATGGCATTTTACATTGTATAAATTAGCCTAGCAGCTAGCAGAGATTTCCTCTGCTCATATTTCAGCCAGGATAAATCACACACAGTGTGTGGAGGCTTTATTGTCTTCACAGTTTATTGTTTCTTATCTGTGAAATTAAAGTAAATCAAAGCTTTGTTTCCACTGAGGGAAATGGTTTCAGCTTACAGAGACAGACAGGAGGTCTGTGTCACTGTGACACTGTGGAGTTACATTTCTGGGGAGGTGCACGTCAGGCTATGGCGTTGACTTGACGCAGAAGTATAAATTCTGCTTCAGTCTCACGTCCATGAGTTTTTCTTTACATCCCTTTAACCAGGATTAAAATATGTGTGCCTCCTGCACACTGCATGTGGAAGATAAAAACAATGTAATGACGTGTTGGAGAATGGGTGAAGTTCAGTCTGAATCTAACACGTATAAAAGGCTTCAGAGTCTAAACAACAATGGTTTAGTGTTTCCAGTGTGACACGCAGCAGGAGCAGGAGCAGGAGCAGGAGCAGGAGCAGGCTGTGGTTTTAAACCCAGACTGCAGCGGTTTCCTCCGTCTAACTTGAGCTGGTACTGTATGACATGTGGCTTCATATGTGACAAACAGCCTCCACACAAAACATAGCCTAAATTTGTCTCTGCCCTTTTTCACACAGAGGACACGGCGGTGAGGCGAGCCGCAGCAGATGGCCAAAAAAAGGCCTCCTATTTTCACAGAGTGCTAATTAGAGGCGAACCACAGCTCACCTTTAATGTGAGCCACAGACTGCTCTTAGCACCATTAGCTTAATGGGCTCTGTGAACAGCCTGTAATGTTTAGCCTCAGCGTCGCTCTGGAGTTTAAGTATGTCAGAGGAAAGGACAAGAGGGGTCTGATGCTCCGCCGATCCATTTATCAGCACAGACGAGACCTGAGCCGCCATCACCCAGAGAAACTATTTAATTAGATGCATTAATAATTGAACTAATTAGCTCCCATGTGTCTCCCAAATGAAGAGGGAACCCGCAGCTTCACTCGCACCTCATCAGTTGATTAATTAGTCGGTTGATCGTTAGCTGTCTTGACGGCCTCTATGCGATGAGATGAGAGGGCGGATAATGAGGGAATTGTGGGTCGATGGTGCTGGTTAATTAGTGTGACCTGATCCTGGGGCCATGTTAGAACAGTTGTTTATGCCACAGCGTGTAATGAGCACGATTCACAGCCTCATCATGTGTTTGGCTGCAGCGCTCTGTTTATGGATGCCACCGATGAAAATCACTGTAATGTTCCAATAATTGATCAGCTGGGACTGAAGACATGTCCGTGGTGATCGGGTTCACTCTGAATCATCACCTCTCGTCACTCGTGTGACTCCTCAGGACAAACTCACAGCAGCTCTTATTCATGCTATCCCTAAAATATTCTTATATCACTACAGACGTCCTGTGGTCGTTCTGTTTCCTCTGCAGTTTTCTGTCGTAGTCAGGACTTGTAGTTTTATAGTTAAAGCACAGGCCATAGGCAGAAGTGGACAAAGTATTCAATCCTTTACTTCAGTAAACGTATCAGCATCACAGTGTGTAAATACTCTGTTCCAAGTGTTTTTATATCACAGCTGCAGACCATCACTATTTTGTGACCATGGAGCACCAGTGTGACATGCACATATATTAATATATAACTGTGGAGCTGTTCGTCTGCTTCCTGCTCACAGTTAATAAATCATCACAGTTAGTGGTGCTGCTGTAACAGTTTTACTTAATGAGTTTAACGATAGTGTGAGCAGGTGAGGTGTCTTTGTACCTGTGGGGCTCCAAAGCACGACTCACAGTTGTATTTTGTGACCATGGAGCACCAGTACAATTAGATTAGTACAATCTGCAAATACTATTAACACATAAACTGGAGAGCTGTTAGTTTGTAACCAGCTCACAGTGAGTAAATCCTCACATTTAAAGGTGGTGCAGGAACAGTTTAACTTTGTGCTAACTGCTAACAGCTAACTGTTGACAGGAAACTTCAAGTTCACAGCAAAAACATCGACACTTCCTGTCCAAGACGAGCCAGGTGCTTCAAAATAAAAGCACAGACGGTTCCACTTTGATTTATTTAATTATAACAATACTTCATTGTAATAATACTTTATTAAACTTAATTATATAACAGTTACCACTTTATTTAACTTTAGTGTAACTGTAGTTCATTTAATAATCTTGTATTTTAGTGGTGTAGTTTACAGGGGATTTTAAAATATCAAGATATTTATCGAGTACTGCCTAAAATATATTGCAAATTTTTTTAAAGCCATATCACCCAGCCTTAAAATCAACTAATACATTATGATGTAATATTACAGATAAAGGAAGTCAAATTAGCCCCGCCTTCATCGGCTGTGACATTCAAGAGATGCTCACATAAATGCCAGTCACTTTTTATAGTTCAATGACATCATGGATGTTATTTTAAAATGAGGCATTCGAGTAATAAATTACTTTTGGTACTTTATTATAAATTGATGTTGATACTTTTGTACTTTTAAATTTTACATGTAACAGGTGTAATGTAACTAAGTATCTAAGTATGTCATATTTACTCTGTACTGTACTTTATTGCAGATCTGAAGTACATATACTTTTATTTTTTTACTTTTACTTTTATTAATTTACGTTACTTTTTATTCAGAGGTAAAACTGTGCGTTTTACTGACTCAACAGACGCAGAAGATTTTATGTTATTAATATTATGACATCATATCATTCCTGTTTCTTCACCTGTGACCTGGCTTTTGTTTTTTTTTTTTGGATACAACTGTGTCACGTAGAGTAGAAAGAGACGCGCCCGGGCCGGTGCCGGTGGTGCCGGTGGTGCCGGTGCTGTGTCTACAGGGCGCCGCGGAGATAATTGGTGTCCTTGGTGTTGAATAAGCTGATTGTAAAAGAGCTGAGGCCCGGACCCTGCTGAATAATTGATTCTATCACATCTGAGCATAATGACTTTATATAATTAGCACGCAGGGAGGAGGAGGAGGAGGAGGAGGAGGAGGAGCAGGCGGGAAGAGGAGGAGGAGAGGGAGGGAGGAGGAGGGAGCTGTGTGAGGAGGCTCAGTCCGCACAGAGGAGCTGATCTGAGAGCAGCAGCAGGCTGTGGACACACTGAGGACAGATCAGAGGACACACTGAGGACAGATCAGAGGACACACTGAGGACAGATCAGAGGACACACTGAGGACAGATCAGAGGACAGATCAGGGGACGGACCGGGACCGGAAGACGCTGGTTTGTCTCTGCTCTGATGGCCGGTGTGTGTGAGCTGCTTCCTGCGGAGCTGCTGCTGCTGCTGCTGTGAAGTTTGAGCCTCAGCCTGTCTCACCCTCCTGGATCTGTTGTTGGACTGTTGTGACGACAGGATGGTGCTGGACAAGGAGGACAGTGAGTACAGAGACATGTCTGTCTTCATGCTTCTTCTCTTCATGTTACACACAGGGAGGTCTGAGGACTGTCTGTCCTCCAGGACTGTGACAGAAAACAGACGTTGTCTCCAGTTTTAAAGACAAACTTTGTCTGTGATACTTTTATTAAGCTGAATGAAGAAGACTGAAACTCAACTCATATTTTCAGGCATGATGGACCTGATATTGACTTCTCACATGTTTTATACTCCTGATTACATCTGTTGATAATTATTATCCAACCTGACTGTTTATTTTCATTAGATATAACTATAATTTACTGGCACGCACCACAGTGTCTGTAACATGTTTCTTCACAGTTGTTAAATCTGTCACTAAAAACATTCATTTAGAAAGTTTCTGGATTATCAATACCTTTGATTATTATGTTAAAGCTCCAGTGTGTCGGATTTAAATATAATCTGATTGTTGTCTTTTCTTCAGATGAAAATAAGACTAATTGTGTTTTTGCTACATGTAACGTTGACTTGTTGGTGGAGATGAACAACCAGCAGCTCAGCAGCAAACAGACAGGTAACGTTAGCAGCTAGCTGGTGGAGCATTCAGGAGTTGGTGGAGACCAAAAACAGAGCTAAAAGTCCCTGCAGATCACACTGACTGGTCATCACTGCTCTAATGGTTTTGTTCTTGTTACCTCAGAATGAGCTGTTTATATCTACACAGGCAGCAGGTCCTCGTCTACAGAGATCACCATGTTTCTTCAGTAGCCCAGAGCGGACAAACCAAACACTGACTCTAGATAGAGACATTCATGTTTTTGCATCGGCCACCAAAGTTAGCAGCCCCTCAGTGACAAGCTTTCAGATTTTATTGCTGTCGCTATTTTTGGCTTTTGTCTGTACGTACATTTTTAGTTTGGATCCTACCCACTGTTTTATAGATGAGACGTCTGATCTGTGTGTTTCTGAGAGGAAGAGACCTCTGTGGATGATTCAGCTCCTCAACAATCAACACTGAAGGAATCCAGTAGAAGTTTCAGATGGTTGTAATCTGTAATCTGTAATCCTCCTGAATCTGACAGACTGGACCTTTAATATTCCCATGAACGTGGCCGTTAATCATGATCGACGTTGACATGTTCCTGAGCTTTTCTGATTTAACCCCGTGTGTCTCTGTCCTCGTCTCTCTGTCCACCTGTTGGACTGCTTCCTGCCAGGTGTGTCTCTGGTGTCCCTCCAGTCCAGGGAGAAGTCGCGGGGCTGCGCCGGCTGTAACGGGAAGATCCGGGACCGTTTCATGCTGCAGGCGCTGGACAGGTTCTGGCACGAGGACTGTCTGAAGTGCGCCTGCTGTGACTGCCGCCTGGGCCGGGTGGGCTCCACCCTCTACACCCGCGCCAACCTCATCCTCTGCCGCAGGGACTACCTCAGGTAACCACACCCACCTACAGGTGTATCTGGACTGAGAGACAGAGTAAGAAAGTTTGCAGATAGATTCTGTTAAAGACTGAAGGACTGATCTGAAGCAGACTGTTGTGACTGTAGGTCCACTCAGGATGAATTAATCTAAACATTTAGATTATCAGAAATATTAAATTAATCTGACAGTCCAGCAGAAACAGGAGAGTGACCTGTGACAAACATGAGGACAGATTTAAACATCACGGATCATTTCAACACAAACAGTGAAGCATCAGCTTTCAGGTAACGTTCCACATGTAGATAACTGACAGTGTGAACCATCAGGTGTGTGTGTGTGTGTGTGTGTGTGTGTGTGTGTCAGCTCACATCAAAGTGTTGATGAACCTTCAGGCTGATTCATGAAGCTTCAGTCAACAGGAGGTGTTTCATGTTTCTTAGAGGCTCACAACGAGTCCTGACATGTCTCACCATGTTTGGACTGGAGTTTGTTTCCAGTCGTCTTACTGGGACTCTGCAGTCTGTGTTAAAGTCAGTAAAGTGGACACACACCCACACACACACACACACACACACACACACGTTCTTCTTTGACCTGGACCTGAGCAGGATTCACGTTGTGTCGTTAGCTGCTGAATTTGCATATTAAAGCAAAAATGTTCTTCCGCTCTGCTTTTTCTGGCCACTTTACCTTTTTATTAATAAGCTTTGATGCCAACGTGACTTATTAACAGTGAAAAGAAATGAGAGGACGGAGGCTGAGGTCGGCACAGAGGAACCACAGAAACATACGTGAAGGTTGGATTTTGCCCTGAGGAGCGACCACGCGGCGTTTTGTTGAGGTTGGATCACCAGAACCAAGATGTTCAGGAATAGTTTAGCACTCTGGGAAATATGTCCGTTTGTTTTTTTGTCGAGAGTTTGATGAGAAGCTCGACGCAGCCTTCCTGATTACGTAGGTTATAAACAAATGAAGCTCATGATGCTGCCGTACGTACCGCCATTACTCTGAGGACAGATGTGGTAGCGTGGGCACGAATGTCAGCAGGCTGGTCCTCCCTCGCTGCAACATGTGCGTCATCATATTTAAAAAACAAAACGTAACTTCTCAACATCTCGAAAACACAAATATTAAATAAAAAAAAGTCAAGTCCTTTCAGGTCATCTGTCTCAAGTCAAAGTCAAATCTCAAGTCATGAATACAAAGTCAAAGTCAAGTTGAGTCTTTCATCAGTGTTAGTCAAGCAAGTCTCAAGTCCTCAAATTTGCGATAAATCGGACTCGAGTCAAGTCTTGTATCTCGAGTCCCCCACCTCTGGTTTTTACTACACGTTTGAACAAACGAGACACATGACAGTTTGATAAGAGAGCATTAGAGATGCTGGTGGGTGGGTTTGTTAGTTTTGGCTTTTATGCTTAGCTAAGCTAAGCTAAGCTAACTGTCTCCGGATATATTTTTATTGGTTGTTGTTAAAACAATCCAGCTAATTAATTCAGCACCAGGTAATAAAACGTACATCTTTTAAAACCTCTAAAACCAACTGCCTCATTCAGCAGAATTCCGTCACACAGAGTGAAGCTCGTTGACAACCGCACGCTACAAAGTCAGAGTCTGTGTTGCACTCAGGTCCGTCTGCGAGTTGTGTCTGTACCCGTGTGTTTCAGCTGTTAGAGGTGCTGGTGGCTGGATTTTGTTAGCTCTGAAGAGAGCCAGGCTAGAGGTTTCCCCTTTGTTTCCAGCCCTTAATGCTAAGCTAAGCTAAGCTAAGCTAAGCTAAGCTAAGCTAAGCTAACTGTCTCCTGGCTGCAGATACATATTTATTGGTCTCAGTTTTTAAACTTTTGGCAAGAAAGCAAATAAGAAATAATTTCTTTGAGTTTATAACTTTGAGTCGAGGAGAGTGAAGAGTCTTGTGATGGAGGTTTATAACCCTTCACACATTGACAGCTTTCACCACAGACCCTTCAGATGAAGATAAATGTTTAAACATCGTCTGAACCCGACCTCTCACCACACTACGAGTGTTTTATGTTTTAAATGGACTTTAAAGAGTCTTGAATCGTGAATCTTGATGACACTTTTCTACACAGAGCTGCAGCCGCGGCTCAAACGGCCCTTCTGAGACTTATCTGGCTTCATTTAGTGAAATAATGCCGTCTGGTGTCAGATCAGCAGGAGAACTGCTGATATCTCGGCCACATTGCTGAACTCATGTGTTAGTCTCATGTACAATCCAGCTGGATTTGGTTGGAGCTAAGTCTCTCATTAGCCGCACTGCACTTAAGAGACCAAAACCCCTTCTGACAGTTAAATTGGCTCGATTGCCTCCTGTTTTCCTCATCATTGTGAGGGCGCAGACCAAAAGCCTTTGAAGAGCAGGATTAAAACCATGTGATTTCTTTTAATTGGACCATTAGTAGAGAATTAGTATTGAGCTGCATAGCCTCGTTAAGGAGAAGGAAAAACCCACCAGGTGCCTGCTCAGGACTCAAGCTCGTTAGATCAGAACATTCGCTTAATTAGGACTCGCTTTTGTTCCCGTGCTGGTCACTTGTTTGATGACGTGTTTTCATTTGTTGTCTGATATCTGTGGGAGACAAACACTCAACACTAATGCTGTCCTCCCTTCGCTTTCTCTGAGGATGTTGTTTTTCACAGCGGTTCCTCCCAGACCTCCTTTTTTTCCTGGAATATGGAAATCAGTAACTTATCTTCATGTGTCGGGCTCTCGGGGAGGTGAAGCAATCTGCAGCTGGTCAGCAGCACTGAGTCACACAACACAGCGTTTGTTCTCAGGTAGTCTGAGGACACAGCTCACACACAGCGCTGCTTTCAGACTCTCAGGTTTGTTCCTGTAATCTGTCCTGTAAAGCAACAAACACCATCTGCTTCTTAAAGTCACATTTTCATATCAGTCCATCTCCGTCTAGCTGCTCTCTATCAGCAGCTGATACAAAGCAACACAGATCCAACTTATAATCAGTTTATGACAGCCTTTATAACTCTGGAAACTTTCATGGTTCACAACAAGACAAGAATCTAAAGTTTCCTGCAGCAGCTGATAAAAACAAACAAACTAGTGTTTCTGACTCACAGAACAACTTTGTTACGACGTGGAGGTGGTCTCACATTATTCCAGGATGGCTGACTGCAAAGTGAAGTTCAGACCAAAGATTTTCAGACTTATTTTGTGGCTGAATATAATTTGTAGCTTCTTAAAATCTGAGTGAGGATAGTGACAGTGAGATACTGGCTACAGCGAGGAAACAAAAGCAGTAAACAGGAAACAGTCCGAGCGCTTGTGAGGAGGCAGGTTGGGCTGGTGGGCCGAGTCACGTGTTTGGATCTGTGTGAACTTTGAGTCATTTTAAGACCCGTCCTCATGTTTCTATTCTTAAACTTAACCACAGTAACTTTATGTTAATTACACAACTGTACGTTAAGGACGTAACGTCATTAGTGGGGCGCAAATTTCGTAGGATATCATTGAACTGTTCTGTGAGAGTTAGGGTTGTGAATCACCAGACACCCTACGATACAATATTAGTGCAGTGTTGCAATATGCTGAGTATTGCGATAACACTGACTGTGATATATTGTGATTTATTAGATTTTTCAGTTGTACATTTTTTCCCAAAAATTCTTCAAAAATAATCATCTGTTTTATTTAATAAGATAAAAAGTTTTCAGTCTCTCAGTTTGACTTCAGTCATTTTTATTGCAGCAAATTGTATGTAGAGGACTGAAAAAGCTCTCAGTTATGACTTTTATTAAAAGTTTAATTTGTACTAAAATCAATAATTTGTGTGTTTAAAATTTACTATTTGCTCTGAGTGTGAGACAGAGGGGCGGGTCTGTTTCTGGATCTGCTCCTATACTCTTTGTGTCCGTGGTGGCGGGCAAACAGAGATAAGTCAACACAATCTGTAGTTTGAGAGCTGCAGATTTGTTCTGGCAGAGGAGCAGAGAGATGTGAGCGCTGGTCAGATGGAGGAAACTTTACCACAGTTCATTTTCACAGACATGCCACACTGCTCTGATGAACAGCTGGTTGAAATCAGCAGATCATCCCTAAAGTAGCCGCACACTGCTCAGTGCTAATGAGCAAATGATAGCATGACAACATGATGAATGCCAACATGTCAGCGTGGCTGTAGACTCTGGGTCTCGTTAATATAACTGATGTAGCCGAGTGTCCTGGGTTCAGCAGACGGTGTAACAGCTCCAACAGTGAACGCTGCCCGTTCAGTTTTCTTCACACCAAAACTCTCACACAAGCACAAGTCCCCAAACTTTCTTTGCCCTACGGCAACTCAAGAGGGACACACAAACAGAACAGTCGGTGACACTAACGTCAGCTCGACTGGTAAAGTTGGATTTTACATTTAAGTCCAGCAGCAGCAGCTCTGCAGTTTAATTCTGGCTGTAGTTTGTTGCATTCATCTCCTGTCATGTTATAATGTCTCCTCCTCGTACTGAGAGTCATAATGAAGCTGATGGGAATGTTTCCTCACACTTGGCTGATCTTAACTACGCGTTAGATCAATACGTTGTGATGTAACGCTGCATCAGTATCAGCAGCAGGAAATACAGAGCAGCTACTTTAAAACAAAGAGAGTCCTGCTGAAACATCTTCAGGCCCGTCACTGTGGGTTTTTTTCATGTGGAGTTTTTGGCAGAAATGTGTGTGAAGTGCGTCCAGACTCCAGGTCTGCCTGTCGCCCTGTTTCCCTCTGCAGGCTCTTTGGGGTGACGGGGAACTGTGCAGCCTGCAGTAAGCTGATCCCTGCCTTTGAGATGGTGATGAGAGCCAGAGACAACGTCTACCATTTAGACTGCTTCGCCTGTCAGCTCTGCCGCCAGAGGTAAGATTAGGGGAGCAATTAGCCAGGGAGATCAAATTCAGTTGACTTATCTGGGAGGCGCTCTGCTGAGCTCACTGGTCATTATGGGGCGAAGCATTGTAATCAGAATGTGATGAAAATTACTGCGCTGTTTCAATCCTCCAGGGGGTTCAAACTTTGTGTACAGCTCGGGTAGTTAATCAGTCAGCAATCATGCAAGATTAATTTTCTGATTATCATAGCAGTGCTGAAAATACGCCTGAAATGCTCCTCGGGGACGTCATGATTCACTTCAGCTCCAGAACACAGACCCAGTTCCATATTTTTATTCCTCTCTGCAGATTTTGCGTGGGAGACAAGTTTTTCCTCAAGAACAACATGATCCTGTGCCAGCTGGACTACGAAGGAGGCCATCTTAACGGCAGCGCGGAGAGGCCGCCTCAATAAGAGGTAATGTTCTGATGGCCATGAGTTACAGCCCTCTGACAGCCTGAACTAAAACATGCACACAGATATCTGGAAGACATACGAGTGAACTCACAGAGCTCATCCCAAATATGACCATATGTAGACATGAGGCTGCTGATGACATCATCATCCTCAGATATGTTGGAGCAGACTGTCTGTGGACAGGGTCTGTTTTATGTGACACTTAGTGTGGACACATACGTTCAGTTTGGATGAAGATGAACTGACGTCAGATGATTTCATCCATGTTGTGTATCGTGGATATTTAAAGCACACAGACGAGTCTGATTCATTAAAGGTCCTCGAACATCCTCTCAGTGGAACGGATAACGAGGTTCACCTTTTAATGTCTACGGTTTCAACTGATGAAGGAGCACGATTTAAAACATGGTTTCAATCTGTACTGAATACTAATATGACTTTTATGCTTTAGGGTGCGTTCACACCTGTCCTGTTTGGTTCAGCTCAGTCAAACTCAGGTTGGTTTCCTCAGTGCGGTTCCTTTGTGCAGGTGTGAACACACCAAAACAACCGGACCAAGACCTTCTTGAAGAGGTGGAGGTTGGAGCCGCGCCTCGTTTTCAAACTGTATGGTTTGACTAAAATGAACAATGACAGCAATATAGTCCACGATGAGCAGCGCTAAAATCAACCTGCGTAGTTGTCCCTCCATTGTGACATTAGAAAGTGTCACATTTATCTTGCAAGTGCTTTATCTTGCTTCATTCTCAAACGTCCTTTAAACAGGCCGTTTTATTTAAATCTTTAAACAGCAGAGAAATAAATCCTGTGGCAGTAGCAGCTCGTCCTTTGACGGGCGTGGCCGTGGTCGGCTGTGAGGGCAGATGAGAGACGTTTGAAAGCAAGTGCAGCGGACACCACAATCTCCACAGTCATAAAGGTTTCAGGGTTCAGAAACAGAGCCTGAAGCCACCGGCAGCCCAACCCATCATTATGATACTAACTGTACAACTACAGTTCATAAAACACACCACACCGCGCGGCGCTGGAAGTGCACAGGGTTTTTTCCCTCCGTTTGGTTTTTAGGTCCTGCAGAGTTCATGTTGAAACAACTTTAGACTCTCAGAGATCATTTTTCTTCTTCTACAGAAACATCCAGAGGACCGGACCAACATGTTGTTCACTGAGTCCAGAGCTCAGAGCTGAAGCGTCTTTAAGAGTCGTCTACTGAGTATTTAGTTTGGATTGTGTTAAAATGGGAGTCGACTTCAGAAATGTGGCTCCACTGAAGCTTTTCTGGCTCCCAGATGCTCGAACTCTAAACTCTGCTCTCAGGACCCAAATAACTCTGTGGATGTTGGACTGTTTATAGATTTATTTAAACTTTAGTCAAAGACTTATAAATGTGACCGCTGCTTTTTACATGTGTATTTTTCTTGGTTCTCGTCCTGCTTGATTTAGACTGTAACTTGTTTTACACAACCTTCATGACCCCAGGTCTGAACTGGGACTGAACTGAAAGACATTTCTTTGGTTTGTTGCAGCTGAGATGAGTTCTCTTTCTATTATAGTTAATAATGTTCTTTGACTTCCTCTGGTGACACTCTTAATTTCTTGTTCATGTGGCGTTAGAAACAACACGAGTATATTTAGAACCAGTCCACACAGACAGGGTATTTTAAAAACAGGATTTTCCTCCTTAGTACTGAAAAACTCTTGGTCCAAATGAAAATGCACAACACAGTCGAAGCACTGTCAGGAGCACGGTGATATAACTCAAACCTTAAGGCCATGCAAAGGAGAAGGACGAAGAAGAAGAAGAAGAGGAAGAAGAAGAAGAAGACCGATCTGAAGCCAGACCAAAAGCGTTTCCCAGAGGCCACCTGTAGCTGTGACCCTCACCTCAGTGGGGGAAGAACTGTACCTGACAACATGGTGAGGACCCTGTAAAAACAGGGCTGCCGACAGAACAACCTACAGGCTGAAAAAGTTGAGCTGTGACTCAGACTTGGAGCGAGCAATAAGACATGGTGTTTTGTTCTTTGACTGAATTGTTGCAAAGATCTACAACCTATGAAACAACTTGTGAACGCACCTCAGGAAAGCTCAGAGTCCATCTCACAGGACTCTCCTGATGCTGATCTGTTTTCTGATAGTCAGAGTTGATGTGTCGTATCTTTGGAAACAATAAATGAATATGATCCTTTGTGCACTCGGGTTCTGATCTCAGACCGACCAAACTCCCCTCCGGATCAGAAAACAGAGCAGCTCTCCTCCCATAGCGCTTTCACACCGCTGGGCACTGGCACGGTTCTGGTTACTGAACCCAATTTTGAACTGGCTGGCGCAAACCTGAAAAGTCGGTTCCCAGTGGAACCAAAAAATAGTTGGTTTTTCCTTGCGAACTGTGACATCATAAGTGGGCGTGTGAAGACCATAGATATCTATAAAAACACGAGCATATACTTTTTACATACCATTCGCCTTATACGTGATCATCTTCTACGTCTTCTCATCATCAACAGTTGGTGCATGCTGGATTGTTGGATGAAAACAAATAACTGGAGTAACAAAGCAAAAGCTTGCAGATAATCTCCATACGATCTGTCATTTTGCCGGCTGCTGTGTTTATTTCCGCCTGAGTGACGCGGAGTAACGTCCTTCCACTTTGCTTCTGCTTAAACTGGTGTGGACACGGGCTGGTTCGCCAGACAGCACCGAGGTTCAGAGACTCCAGAACGGAGCCAGAGCCGGAACCAGAACCGTGCCGGTGCCCTGCCGGTGTGAAACACAGCAGCAGCGCTAACATCCAGTGACCCAGGATGATTGTGATTGGTTTAGAGGAACAAAAACAAGTCAGAGTGTTTTGTTCCCACTGCAGCAGAAACATAATGTGATTCCAGATCTTTATGTAATGTTGACATGAACAGTGCAGTGAGTCTGAGACCAGTGATCAGTGATGCACACAGTGTTTCCAGTCATTGAAGGCTCCCTGGGGCCGGTCAGGACCTTCGCTCTACTGCGTCCACTTTAATTCAAGATGATTCAACCTGATATAATCAAAAGGTCTCATTAAAATCTGAATGACATAAACATTCAGAGTGAAACAAACAGGAAACAAGAAGAACAAACAGGAAACAGTTTCTGTAGTTCGGCCGAGATCAATGAGAACGTCTGAGATATATACGTAATAAAGACTTTCCACACACTTCTAAAATGCTGTTTCCTCTCACACACCGTCACGCTTTGGTTCGGTTTTATAACAAGACCTTGTCGTATTCTGATCATCTTATTTCCTCTGAAATATAATAAAAATTATTGATTGATTTATTGTGTTTTTCCAAAAGTGAAAATGTGTTTTCATATTAAACAGAGTCTGGGATCAGAAGTTAAACCACAGTTTATTAACTGTTATTAGAGGACATGAATCTGATCACATGTTTTTATTGAACACACTTCTTCTTCTTCTGCTTCTTCTGCTTCTTCTTCTTCTGCTTCTTCTGCTTCTTCTTCTTCTGCTTCTTCTTCTTCTTCTTCTTCTTCTTCTTCTTCTTCTTCTTCTTCTTCTTCTTCTTCTTCTTCTTCTTCTTCTTCTTCTTCTTCTTCTTCTTCTTCTTCTTCTTCTTCTTCTTCTTCTTCTTCTTCTTCTTCTTCTTCTTCTTCTTCTTCTTCTTCTTCTTCTTCTTCTTCTTCTTCTTCTTCTTCTTCTTCTTCTTCTTCTTCTTCTTCTTCTTCTTCTTCTTCTTCTTCTTCTTCTTCTTCTTCTTCTTCTTCTTCTTCTTCTTCTTCTTCTTCTTCTTCTTCTTCTTCTTCTTCTTCTTCTTCTTCTTCTTCTTCTTCTTCTTCTTCTTCTTCTTCTTCTTCTTCTTCTTCTTCTTCTTCTTCTTCTTCTTCTTCTTCTTCTTCTTCTTCTTCTTCTTCTTCTTCTTCTTCTTCTTCTTCTTCTTCTTCTTCTTCTTCTTCTTCTTCTTCTTCTTCTTCTTCTTCTTCTTCTTCTTCTTCTTCTTCTTCTTCTTCTTCTTCTTCTTCTTCTTCTTCTTCTTCTTCTTCTTCTTCTTCTTCTTCTTCTTCTTCTTCTTCTTCTTCTTCTTCTTCTTCTTCTTCTTCTTCTTCTTCTTCTTCTTCTTCTTCTTCTTCTTCTTCTTCTTCTTCTTCTTCTTCTTCTTCTTCTTCTTCTTCTTCTTCTTCTTCTTCTTCTTCTTCTTCTTCTTCTTCTTCTTCTTCTTCTTCTTCTTCTTCTTCTTCTTCTTCTTCTTCTTCTTCTTCTTCTTCTTCTTCTTCTTCTTCTTCTTCTTCTTCTTCTTCTTCTTCTTCTTCTTCTTCTTCTTCTTCTTCTTCTTCTTCTTCTTCTTCTTCTTCTTCTTCTTCTTCTTCTTCTTCTTCTTCTTCTTCTTCTTCTTCTTCTTCTTCTTCTTCTTCTTCTTCTTCTTCTTCTTCTTCTTCTTCTTCTTCTTCTTCTTCTTCTTCTTCTTCTTCTTCTTCTTCTTCTTCTTCTTCTTCTTCTTCTTCTTCTTCTTCTTCTTCTTCTTCTTCTTCTTCTTCTTCTTCTTCTTCTTCTTCTTCTTCTTCTTCTTCTTCTTCTTCTTCTTCTTCTTCTTCTTCTTCTTCTTCTTCTTCTTCTTCTTCTTCTTCTTCTTCTTCTTCTTCTTCTTCTTCTTCTTCTTCTTCTTCTTCTTCTTCTTCTTCTTCTTCTTCTTCTTCTTCTTCTTCTTCTTCTTCTTCTTCTTCTTCTTCTTCTTCTTCTTCTTCTTCTTCTTCTTCTTCTTCTTCTTCTTCTTCTTCTTCTTCTTCTTCTTCTTCTTCTTCTTCTTCTTCTTCTTCTTCTTCTTCTTCTTCTTCTTCTTCTTCTTCTTCTTCTTCTTCTTCTTCTTCTTCTTCTTCTTCTTCTTCTTCTTCTTCTTCTTCTTCTTCTTCTTCTTCTTCTTCTTCTTCTTCTTCTTCTTCTTCTTCTTCTTCTTCTTCTTCTTCTTCTTCTTCTTCTTCTTCTTCTTCTTCTTCTTCTTCTTCTTCTTCTTCTTCTTCTTCTTCTTCTTCTTCTTCTTCTTCTTCTTCTTCTTCTTCTTCTTCTTCTTCTTCTTCTTCTTCTTCTTCTTCTTCTTCTTCTTCTTCTTCTTCTTCTTCTTCTTCTTCTTCTTCTTCTTCTTCTTCTTCTTCTTCTTCTTCTTCTTCTTCTTCTTCTTCTTCTTCTTCTTCTTCTTCTTCTTCTTCTTCTTCTTCTTCTTCTTCTTCTTCTTCTTCTTCTTCTTCTTCTTCTTCTTCTTCTTCTTCTTCTTCTTCTTCTTCTTCTTCTTCTTCTTCTTCTTCTTCTTCTTCTTCTTCTTCTTCTTCTTCTTCTTCTTCTTCTTCTTCTTCTTCTTCTTCTTCTTCTTCTTCTTCTTCTTCTTCTTCTTCTTCTTCTTCTTCTTCTTCTTCTTCTTCTTCTTCTTCTTCTTCTTCTTCTTCTTCTTCTTCTTCTTCTTCTTCTTCTTCTTCTTCTTCTTCTTCTTCTTCTTCTTCTTCTTCTTCTTCTTCTTCTTCTTCTTCTTCTTCTTCTTCTTCTTCTTCTTCTTCTTCTTCTTCTTCTTCTTCTTCTTCTTCTTCTTCTTCTTCTTCTTCTTCTTCTTCTTCTTCTTCTTCTTCTTCTTCTTCTTCTTCTTCTTCTTCTTCTTCTTCTTCTTCTTCTTCTTCTTCTTCTTCTTCTTCTTCTTCTTCTTCTTCTTCTTCTTCTTCTTCTTCTTCTTCTTCTTCTTCTTCTTCTTCTTCTTCTTCTTCTTCTTCTTCTTCTTCTTCTTCTTCTTCTTCTTCTTCTTCTTCTTCTTCTTCTTCTTCTTCTTCTTCTTCTTCTTCTTCTTCTTCTTCTTCTTCTTCTTCTTCTTCTTCTTCTTCTTCTTCTTCTTCTTCTTCTTCTTCTTCTTCTTCTTCTTCTTCTTCTGCTTCTTCTTCTTCTTCTTCTGCTTCTTCTTCTTCTTCTTCTGCTTCTTCTTCTTCTTCTTATTCTTCTTCTTCTGCTTCTTCTTCTTCTTCTTCTGCTTCTTCTTCTTCTTCTGCTTCTTCTTCTTCTTCTTCTGCTTCTTCTTCTTCTTCTTATTCTGCTTTTTCTTCTTCTTCTTCTCTGCAGATCAGCGCAGAACGACTGAGAGCCAGCTGGACGATGAAGCTCACAGCAGCAGAGTCTTCATCAGTTTCCTGTTTCAGACGTGTTTCCTCTGACTGAACTCTTTGTTATCGAGCTGCGTGGAAACATTTCAGACGGGCCAGAGGTCGACCGGGACGTGAGGATGAGGAGGATGTTTGATGTGGATGAAGATGCTTCGGCCCTTCGTTTTCTTTTTTATTTTAACATTGAACACATAATAATCTGAAGAGTCTGTTCACCAGAGTGGAAATTACACACCAGGTGGATGGAGGGAACAAGTCATCCGTCACAGAGAGAAATACTGAGCCTGTCTCTGACTGTCAGGTCGCTCTGAACGCCGTCCTCCTCTGTGGTCGACTCCGCCCACCAAAACAAACTCCGACATGTTCACAGGTGTAAATACAGCTCCAGGTCCTTCGTCTCTCTGAGGACTGGACTGAACGGAGCTTTGAACCCGACACACTTCAGTTTTCACTCTGATCTCAAACTGTTTTTTTCTTCTTAACTAATTAAAGTGAATTTTAATTTCAGTTTGTGAACTCATTATTTGTCGTGAGTGACATCAGAGGGAGGAAGTGACCTAACTCTCCCCTCAGGACAGTTTATTGGACATATACAAAATAAGAGTTTGTCTGATATGGTTTTCATTGGGATGAGTGAGTACACCATTATCTGTATCTGTGTCTGTGTCTGTGTCTGTTCAACCAACTAAATGATCTGTATCTGTACTCCAAGGGGACGGGGTTAAAATCTAAAGTGGGTTGGGCCTAACCAGAGGTTGATATTTAAAAAGATTATGTTCATATACTCTGCTCAATAACCTGAAGGGAGCATTAATGGTCCCAGTCTGACAGGAAGTCAGTTAAACTTTAGGAATCAGTCCAGTGACTGTGAATCAGTTTCAGCTGCTTTGGGTCAAATCAAAGAGATAAACAGGAAATGGTTTTACATGTGGTGTCCACAGACAGTGTCTCTCTCCCCATCCTTCTTCTCTAGTTTGGCCTCCTGCTAGTGTCCGTGTCACTACTGGTAGCATGAGGCGGCACCTGGCTGCACAGGTGGTCCAGCTCCTGTCACATCCACACCTGTGCTCACAGGAAGGTTTGCAAATCCACAAGGAACAAAATAAAACAAGAAAACAGGAAAACTATAAAATGTGCTCCATAAATTATATTATTGAAAATAAAGTTTATAATTAGATTCTAATTTTTATTTTTGACATTCTGAATTAGAATAAATTTTGATTTATGAATGGGATACTATTACAAAACTTTTTGTTTTTGTTTATTATTATTATTATTATTATTATCATCATCAATAATAATAATAATAAATGTATAAACATTACATTACATTAATTTGACGGTACTTTGGCGCCACCCGGTGGTGAATCACTTCCGTTACAGCTGCGGCTCACTTCCGGTCCTCGGGTCAATCAGGAAGTAAACGGCTGGATGAGACTCACCGAGCCGCCGTCTGCCCCGTTATCTCACCGTAAAACGGTCACACATCATCAGCACGCTCACCTGGAGGCTCACCTGTCGGTATGGCCATGTCAACGTTTCAGAAGGTCACCCTCGCGACGTGTCTCGTGCTCTGCGTCGCGCTGCTGCTGCCCAAAATGCTGCTGTCGCGAGGCAGGAAGGATGCTGCGGAGCGGCCGGACGGTGCGTCACTTCTTACCTGTGTGTGTGCGTGTGTGTGTGCGCGTGTGTACATCCTGAGCTGGTCAGGTGTGTCCTCAGATTATTATTTAAATGTTTTTATTTGATACTGAACATCACCTGCTGGTGTTTCACCCTGCAGTTACACTTTCCTCCCTGAAGAGGGCGACAAACAGAGACAACAACAGAGTCAGTTTATTAGGTACACAGAGCTGCAGCCGAGGTGCCAGTTTATTAGGTACACAGAGCTGCAGCCGAGGTGCCAGTTTATTAGGTACACAGAGCTACAGCTCAGGTGCCAGTTTATTAGGTACACAGAGCTGTAGCCGAGGTGCCAGTTTATTAGGTACACAGAGCTACAGCTCAGGTGCCAGTTTATTAGGTACACAGAGCTGTAGCCGAGGTGCCAGTTTATTAGGTACACAGAGCTACAGCTCAGGTGCCAGTTTATTAGGTACACAGAGCTGCAGCTCAGGTGCCAGTTTATTAGGTACACAGAGCTGCAGCTCAGGTGCCAGTTTATTAGGTACACAGAGCTACAGCTCAGGTGCCAGTTTATTAGGTACACAGAGCTACAGCTCAGGTGCCAGTTTATTAGGTACACAGAGCTACAGCTCAGGTGCCAGTTTATTAGGTACACAGAGCTACAGCTCAGGTGCCAGTTTATTAGGTAC